GAGACAGGGTCTCCCTGTAGCCCCAGCTGTCCTGGAACTCACTATGTAGACCAGGCTGGCCTTGAGCTCACAGAGATCTGCCTGCCTCTGCCTCCTGAGTGCTGGGATTAAAGGTGTGTGCCACCACACCTGGTCTGTAATAATTATATTTTATATTAATAAAAAATGGGTAAATATCCATTTTAAAAATTATATAATATTGGTTTAAAGACACAACAATTCACTATAGAAATAAAGTCATACTGCATTAAGGGAGAGAGAGAGGAGAGATAATTAAGGCCTAGCTAGTGTAAAAAAAACAAAGGGAGTTGTATTAGTCCAAAAACTTACTGAAAAATTACACATAAAGTATCCTCACATGGGTCCATGTGTATAGCTGAAGGCTATATAACAAGAAACAACATCAGGCAGGAGAAACCTCCCTTTGAGTTGCTGGCCAAGGTAGTCTAAGAGACTCTCAAAATTACACAAGCCATTGTCACAACCCTTGATTGCCTCCAAGAATTTGAAGGCAAGACCCTATCATTGAAGGCAGGACAGATTTCAGACACAGGATTGGGAGCAATGGAGCGGGAACTGACCTAGAATTCACCTCCCCTGAAGGCTAGCTCTCATAGTTCTCATAGCTTTGGAGAACACTATGCAAGCTGGTAAGAGAGAACATCAATCAATGGTCCAACCCCAGCTTTAAGGCCTAATAACCACAACAATGACCAGCACAGAAAACAACATTGGTGCAGTAGTGGCACTTTTATCTTGGGGCTAATCAACAGCTACCTAATTGAATGTAAAGCCCACTCAGTGGGATGAAATGCACATGTGGTACTGTAACTAGCCAAATACATGTGGTTGGAAAGGTCATAGATCTTATAGAAAACACCAAGGCTCTCATATCCCTAGGCAAATGTAATTTGCTACTATGTGCAAAATATTCATCCTTATATTTACATACAAGCATCCCAGTCACTACTCATCAAAGAAGCTTCTTTTGCAACAGATGGAGATTGTCACAGAGTGTCACAGCTGGTTATACTCAGAGATTGTCTGTGAATTGCCCAACCTTAAGTGACACATCTACAGTGCAACCTCTATACCTAAGGCTCATGGAACATAATGGAACAAGGGATAGAGAGATACTAATGCATTCATCTCTCAACTCTCATTAATGAAGCTCCCTAATGCAATAGAGGCTATGAACATAAAAGGACACAAATGGCCAAAGTGTGGAGATTAAGAGTCTGTAGAGTGTGGGTCCTTGGACAGCACTCCTATATTAAACTCCACCCACCCAGGGCTCAGGGACCATTTCAGAAGTGTGGGTGGAAAGACTGTAAGAGCCAGGGAGGAAGTGCATAACTGTATGGAAATAAGGTCCTACAAGCCCCTGGGACCTTGCTCCTATGAACTTACAGCAATGCTGCCAGCATACACAGGATTCATGCAAACTCAAACAGACAAAAACCCAGCACAGATCCCAATCTTAGTCAAAGAACTATTGGGCAATTGATTTTACTACTGGGTGAAGAAGAGCAGATCTTAAACGAAGGGACTCTAGACAGGCTGACTAGACCTCAGTGGAGGATAGTGCACTGAGGGATTTCTGGAGACACTAACTTGACTCAATAGGCCTTAACACAAATGACAGAATGCATGAATCCCAGTTGGGGTGGGCTATGGGAAGGTGCCAATGAGACAGGGTGTATAAAGATGATTAGGATGTTCTGTGTGAAATACATAAAAAATTCAATAAAAAACATTTAGATATTGAGGCTCCAAAGGCACCTTTATTTTGTGACCCTAACTTCACTCCTTCCTTCCTAGTCTCATGCTCAGTCTTCCTTCTCTGTCCCTCAGACCTTCCTGGGTACACACATCCACACACTGGGATTTGTGCTGGGGCAGCTCTACCACATACGTCCTTCCATGTGAGCAATTGTATCTGACAGGTTACATGATTTGGTAACCCCTGTGAAATTTCTCAACAAGTTACAGACATGTTTCTTACTTTTTGAAGTTAATGTGGACAAAATGCACATTCTTCTTCCTTAGTACAGAGCGAGTCACATGTCCCACAGCCTCTTGCAGTTAGGTATGTCCCTGTTGCTAGGTAGAGCTCACCCAATGTAAGGCAACGTTTGTGTGCCACTTCCATTTCTAATATAAAAATTATTTCTTGCTTTCTGTAGTTTTTCTCTTTCCACAACCAGACAAAGTCCGGAACCACACATAATACCGAAAGCTAAGTGGTAAAATGTTACTCAGCTTGAATCCTGGCGTCTCTATTTCATCACTGGCTGCTATTGTGTGAGCGAAAAGCACACTTCTGTTATACTTCGGACTCCATGACCCTTTTAAAAAATTCAATTGCAATAATATTTCATCTACACATCTGCTCATCATGTAAATAAATACATACCATTGGTTTTTTTCAGTGCTTCTACCAGACAAAGGGCTTCCTCCTGAATTCTGTCTTCAATAGTTTTCTTCCCAAACCCCATAGTCCGTAAAACTGAGAGGGAGAAACGCCGTGTTTGCTTCCACATTTCTCCATTACTGAAAACAATTCCTATCAGGACACAGAAAATTCCATTATCATGAATTCTAGCTGAGAGTATTCATCTCAGAAAACAATACTGACCCTTGTTCAGGTACGTAAAATATGATTGTGTCAGCCCCTCCTCACCTGTCACCTTCCCTAACCCGTCCTAGTATTTCAGTCAGGATCTTGATGTTATATATTAAGAAGCTCTTTTCACCTATCAGCCTCTGAAAACCTCAGAGTGATTCTGTGGACCTTTTCTCCCTTCCTCCATTTTGCTGACAAGGATGTTGAAGATCATGAATGCAAATTCCTTTCTCTAGGACCATATAACTAATAAACTGTGGCGAGGTCAAGTCATAGATTAATGTATCAAGACTAACTTTGATGTTTGTTTATGAATTTTAGAAAAATCAAAAAGAGGAAATTATCAAGAGAACTGAATGTTGGAATATGACTGGGTGGTAAAATACTTGCTTAGCATGTGCAAGGCCTTGAGTGCAATATGAGAGAGAGAGAGTGAGAGAGTGAGAGCGAGAGAGAGAAAGAGAGAGTCAGAAAGGGGTTATAATCATTGCTACCTCTTTACATTTTAACATTCGTCCTCTGTTTAAACTCCTACATGAATTGTGATCTTTATACCTAGAAATTCAACATAAGATTCCCTAGCTCAAAACAAGATAGTAGTGAAACATTAGTTCATTGAAAACTGTCAAAGAAGCATCTTTGAGATGCTTGCACATTAGAGATGCATGCGCCAATATCTCAGTGTTAGTAGCAAAAACAATGAGTCTTTCTGTAAGGAAAAATATATTCTTATGATTTTTTTTTAAAAATAGAAAAAGGAATATAAGTCTGTAAATATTCCAATTCTATATGCTGGTTCCCATACTATAAAAACTTTAAAACAGTAGTTAAACTTTGTTTTTATTATTTATATTTTATTTCTATGAGTGTTTTGTCTGCATGCATGTAAGTGTACCATATACATGCAATGGTCTCTGGCCAGATGCCCTGGAACTGAAGTTAGGAAAGTTGGTTGCTAGCTGCCATGTAGGTGCTTGGAACTGAATCATGAGATGGAAGAAGAGCTCTAAAAGGAGGGGAGAAAGGCAGACAGTAACGGAATATATGTGACCTGACTGCAGAATGGAACTACCGGGGAGAAAGGACCAGCAAGGCAGGCAGGCGATGAATGAGGGCAGTTGGGGAGAAGACGAACTGTAATAAAATATGCATGAAAATAACATAAGAAATGCTTTGTTTTGTATGCTATCTTAAAAAACAATTAAAAATATGACAAAAATTAAAATTTATTCACATGCTTCTGAGAACTTCTAATACCTTAATTTCTTTGGTTGTCTGGATTCTTTGCAACTTGTAAGCACATGGACATTCCCCCAAACAGAACCATACCTAAACCTTGGTTGATTTTATTGATTAATGACAAAGGCTTTTTGCCAGTAAACTCCTCTCCCCTGTCAATCAGAGCTTCTTTTAGTGCTTCGTATCCATGTAGCACCACAGTGGGTTTCATTCCTAAATACACAGTGAACACGGGTCCGTAGACTTTTGCTAGCTGTAAACAGAGAAGGAGATGCAAGAAAAGTGAGAATCTCAAAACTCAGATGTTGATAAATGACAAATATTTTTATTCATACTGGATTCATTTTACTATGTATCCACTTATTGGAAATGAATTCAACTTCCTGAATCAGAAATTTGATGAGAAAATACTTTTAATTGGTAATGTCATTAACACTCTAATCACTTTCAATCTTATTCAGCTCCTACTATGGGCTATATTTTTCATTTGTTTACATTTATATTTTTACCTTTTCCTTCAAAACTTACGTTTGCATCAGATTTCCCTTTCTTGTCTTCTTACAGTAAATAGAGTGTTTCTTTTCCTGATTAAGGGAAGTTTCTCCCAGTCACCCCATGTGCATACTAATGATCATCCCTCATCATCCATTTTCTACATTCCACATTCCACATTTTCCACATCCATTTGCACATTACACTAAGGACTCTGAAATTTAGCAATACTTAGACAAGTAGGTGGGTCATCACGCAAGTCTACACTCCACACTGTATCTTCTACAAGACTGGAGTCTTTACACATTTCCCATCACCCTTAAAATCAGATGCATGCACAGAGCATGGTGCCTAAAGTCAAGAGTCATTTATTACAGTTGAATGTATAACACATTTAAGTAATCTGTGAAAAATCATTCCTATTCCATCTCAAAGAAATATAAATTAAAGCTCCAAGAGATTTTTAAAATTTCCCTAAGCTATGAGTTAATTCAGAGCTCACATCCCAGGAAGAAGAACTTCCCAGTGCTCTGGTTTTGGCTTTGTCAGGGAAAGAGATTTCTAGTCAACCTTTCAGACTTCAGAAGACCATGGCCCTATGAATGAGTGGAGTAGAGAAGTTATCACCTCTGTCATTCACAAAATGCAGTAAGAACCATCAAAATTTCTGAATCCTTAATTTTAGGGAAATGTAGATTTGAGAACTTATAAATCAACAGGTTTTTGTAACCGAAAACACATCTATCTTCATTAGAGTTCATCAAAGAGTAATTACTCTACTAAAAAGGACCTTGGACACTGCGTGAGCAGAGAACTGTCTACTTTTGACAATATCAAGCATCATCCCATGGATCTCATTGGCCTCTAACTCTAGGTACAACAGAGATTCAGGAGCTGGACTGGGTATGCATTAAAAAAATCCATTCTTGGGAGTAAGGTCACGTGTTATACAAGCATAATAACCTGAGTCCAAATCCCCAGAACCCACATAAAGCCAGACACAGTAATGCCCATATGTAACCCCAGTGTTTCCATGACAAGGAAGGAGACAGAGACAGGAGAGTCCCTAGAGGCTCCTGGTCTGGCTAGTCTGGAGTACACAACAGAGAACAGAAAGACAGTTTGTCTCAAACAGGTGAAAAGGCAGAAGCTATACCCAAAATCATCCTCTGACCTCCATGTGCTCAGTGTGGTTCTCTCTCTCTCTCTCTCTCTCTCTCTCTCTCTCTCTCTCTCTCTCTCTCTCTCCCTCTCTTCATTTGGGGCTTCAGATGTCTGATGAAACTTGACATCTCTGCCTTTAATTTGTGTCTGACTCTGCCTTAAACTTTGGGTCAGATTCCTGTTCAACTCTGCATGTAGGTAAATCATGCATTTAAGATATGTTTATCTAAAGCTGCTAATCCTCTTTGTTCAAGGTTGAAGATAACAACATCACTGCAATATTTTCAAGATTTACAAATTCTGTTAAAAGCCCTCTGAGTGACACCTGGAAGTCTTCAGACACTGTCCTACAACACCAGGAAAACAGAGCTCTATGGGCAGGTTACTTTGGGATGATGATACCCCTAAGCAGGAGTAGTCATCTCATAGGCCTCATAGATACATATGCTTAGCAACTGGAGATTGCCCTGAGAAGTTCAGTAACTTTCTGGACTTCAGTTTCCTTGGCAGCAAATGACTGTTATCTCCTCCCCTCAAGAATCATTAACTTCCTCAACACTGATGAGTGTGTGCTGTGCACAACCTCGGACCTTTGTTTTTGTCTTTTCACCTGTATTAAACCAAAGGGTACTACTATCAATCCAAAGAAAGCCTCTAGATCTCACCCCTCTCTTCTCCATGTGGACACAAATAAATTAAAATACCTTTTCCAATTTTGCTGTTCACATCTATGCCTTTTCTTTTGAGTTAAGTGACCAAAACGAGTGAGTGGGGACCCCAAGGGTCAAGTTTCTCTTTTTGGATCCTAACGGTATCTGCACTCTCAAAAAAATCTTATCTGGGTGGCCAATGTGGACACTGTCCTTTAAAACCATCTTTTTAAAACATAGTATCTGGGACCACATTTATTTATCTCTAAGACTGTATCATTCGCTCACTGAAAATCAGTGAGAAGATGTAACTAAGCACACTTACCATGTTCATGGAATTGGAGATGTTCTTAATATCTACTTGTAAAATATTTCCAATAATTGGGAGAGGAGTGGGGCCAGGTGGGAGCTTCCCTTTGGCATGGCGCTGATTCCACAGAGCAAGAAGAACCAAACAAGAAAGGCAAATCCCCAGGGTGATGAAGAGAGCCATTGGCAAGCTCTGTGTGAATGCGGTGGCAAGCTCATGCTTTGGGAGTCTATAAATAGAGCACATGTGGAGCTCCAAAAGGGTACAAAGTTTTTGGACTTTGGATAAAAACTATTTATTATCAGTACACTTTGGCCTCCTGGTAGAAATATAAACAAAAATTTTCTATTTCCTAATAAGTTTCTATATTTGCCATTTCAACATAACCCTCCCACTCTATTTTTGTCAGAAATAGTATTGGCTGAATGACCCTATTTTTAATGGTAAGTTAAAAGCTATCTGTGACTGTCCTGTCAGGGTTGAAGACATTCTAAACAGAGATGCATGTGTCCCTCCCTTTTGCCATCAGGCTGTTGAAGCAATGGTTGCCAAGAAATATACATAAAAATCAATTAAAAAATACAGAAGAAGAAGAAGAAGAAGGAGAAATAGAGTTTCCCAAGAAATCTCAGGCTCTGGGAAGGGAAAGATGAAACACTGGTGTAAATTTATCTTCCAGGAACTTGTCCTTGTGAACAGGAACTCTTAGACAGAATCTCTGATGATAAAAGCTGTTTGATCAGATTTTCAATGATGTGGACAAGTTGGAATGTTGCAAGTTCAGAGCCAAATTATCTTGGGACAGCTTTATCCTTCTTAATAGCCATTTATTGGGTTGGAGAGATGGTTCAGTGGTTAAGAGCACTGGCTGCTCTTGCAGAGGACCTGAGTTCTGTTCCCAGAACCCACATGGTGACTAACAACTGTCTATAACTCCAGTTTCAGGGGATCCGATGCCTTCTTCTGGCTTCTGTGGGCATTGTATGACATGAGTGAATTTACGTACATGCAGCCATAACACTCACACACTAAAAGTAAAAATAATAACTTGTGAAACGCTCACCCGCTGTCTTTCCTGCTGGTGTCGCCATAGCATGGGCGCTCCTGTCAGGTCTGGGAGTGCTGGCATCTCAGCCTTGGAGGCTGACCTACTGCGGAAACCAGGAGCCCTGGACACAGGACACAGTAATGGATTCTGTGACCTTTGAAGATGTGACTATGAACTTCACCTCAGAGGAATGGGCTTTGTTAGATCCTTCCCAAAAGAAGCTGGCAGAGATGTGAGGGAGGAAAGTGTCAGGATCCTGGCTACTCTAGGTGTAGGGAAAGCACAAGAAGTTGAGCACATTGAAGATGACCACAAATATTCTAGGAAACTCCTAAGAAATGAAGTTGTGGAGAGACTGTGGGACCATAACAAAGGTAGTCAATGTGAAGACATCTTCAGACAGATTCCAAATACTGTTGTAAACAAGGAAATTTCTTGTGGAGTAATGCTATGTGAAAACCATGTGTATGAAGTCATGCCCATTGGTCATTCATCTCTTAACTTATCCACGCCTATTCAGACTGCACACAAACCTTATGACTATGAGATATGTGGACAGAGTCTCTATAAATCTGGCGAATGTGAGAAAGCCTGCATTGATCCAGGATACTTTCTGAAGCGTAAAGACACTGACACCAGATAGAAACTCTATGAATTTAACCAATGTGAGAAATTCTTCCAGAGTAACAGTTACATTAAAATACATGTGAACAATGAAACTAGAGACAAGATGTATATGGGTAAGCAGCATTTTAATGCCTTTACTTATCGCAATATTCTTCACTATATTAAAAAGATTCAGACTGGTGAGAAACCCTATGTATATAAGCAAAGTGGGAAAGCCTCTTCTTTTCTGAGTAACATTCGAAGGCATGAACAAACTCACACTGAAGAGAAACCATACAAATGTAATATGTATGCTAAAGCCTTCATTTGTTTCACTAATTTTCAAGAACATGAATGAATTCACACTGGAGAGAAATCCTATTTATGTTCACAATGTGGAAAATCCTTTTCTTTTTTGAGTAATATTCGAAGGCATGAACGAACTCACACTGGAAAGAAACCATACAAATGTAATATATGTGGTAAAGCCTTCAGTTATTTGACTAACTTTCAAGACCGTGAAAGAACTCACACTGGGGAAAGCCTCTATGTGTGTACACAGTGTGGAAAAGCCTTCACTTACTATTATTCTTTTCAAACACATAAACAATGTCATACTGGAGAGAAACCATATAAATGTAAGCAGTGTGGTAAGGTTTTAGTGTTGACAGTTCCCTTCGATGCCATGAAAGAGTTCACAGTGGGGAGAAACCCTATGTATGTAAGCAATGTGGGGAAACCTTCACTTGTCACACTTCCCTTTGATGCCATGATAGGATTCACTGTGGAGAGAAACCCTATGTATGTACGCAATGTGAGAAAGGTTTCATTTCTTCCAGTAACTTTCGGAAACATGAATGAGTCCACTCTGGCGAGAAACTCTGTGTGTGTAAACTGGGTGGTAAAGCCTTTACTGGTCATAGTTCCCTTCGACACCATGAAAGGATTCATAGTGGAGAGAAACCTCATGCGTGTAAGCATTGTGGGAAAGGCTTCTCTTGTTTGAGTGGTTGTCAAAGACATGAACAAATTCACATAGGTGAAAAACCCTACATATGTAAGAATTGTGGAAAAGCCTTCACTAATCCCAGTGCCCTTTGAAATCATGAGAGGATTCACAGTGGTGAGAAACCCCATGTATGTGAGCAATGTGGGGTTTCATTGCTTTCAGTAAATTTAGAATACATGAACTAATTCACACTGGAGAGAAGCCATATAAGTTTAAGTAATGTGGCAAAGGCTTCACTGGTCACATTTCCCTTCGACGTCACGAAAAAGATTCACAGTGGAGAGAAACCTTTTGTATGTAAGGAGTGTGGGAAATCCTTTTATACTTTAAGTGACTGTCAAAAACATGGACAAATTCACACGAGTTAGAAACCTTACATGTGCAAGCAATGTGGAAAAGCTTTTACTTGTTCCAGCTCCCTTAAAATGCACGAAAAGACTCACACTAGAAGGAATTCCTTAATATAGACTATGAAAAGACCTCTTTGTTGCAGGACCTTTCTAACTAATATGATAATGCATAAGATAGAATCAGTGTCATGTTGTTTGTAGGAATGCCTGTGGTCATCTTGCTTGAATTCACAAACATAACAGAATGTACTATAGTGAGAAACTTTAAATGGAGGTGCAAATGTCTTCAGTTGGCACACTTCTGAGAACTTGTCCAGTAACATAACAAAGTTGTCAGTTGTAAAAAAAATTTTCCAAGGTTCTGAAAATTTCTCATGTAACAATTCATAAATGGAGGGGTTAATATTGATGTAAACTAATTTATGTAGGATGTTCCAGAAATTACATTACTTAAAGTAAATGTTCATAAACTTAAAATAAAATATTTTAATATTAGTATTTAATAGCCACTTACTGTTCTCCTCTCTGTGACCTAATATCTTTGTGACCACTATGTAAATCTTTTGGTAAGTAAAAAAAGGCCCCTAGTTTCCACCACTCAAAAGGCTGAGAATGCCATCGGGGAGTATCTGAGGCCTACAGTTGAGATTTACCCATTTTTTTCTGTAACCTGCCTAACCCTCTAAAGAATTTGAAGTGTCTTGAATTATGGTATTCTTTGTTCTGTTTCTATAAAAACATCTTGGAACTGTTACATCATTGGAACTTGCTAGTTTGGCAAATCCCAATCTGTTTTCCCAGGCCATGTTCACTCATATTTGGCTCCAGAATTAACTATGTCTTTTGTTCCTTTGAGGTGAGAGCTATGTTTCTTTCATTGACAATTTTTGGTGCTCAATGTGGGGCTCCAAAGAACAATCCAGTTTTCATCAAAGGAATCTACTGGATTTGTGTCATGTACCACCACAAGGACTGTCCAGCATTGCTTCCTTGAGTCAAAGTTCTTTAGGACGGCTCTGTCCTGCTTGGATTTGGTCCATGATTTGTTGTTTTATTCTGAGCTCAGCTTTTTCAGGATCCTATTCATTTGGACATTTTGTTTGTATGTTTTTTTTTAAAGTACTTACTATAAAGATCCATTTTGTGTGCTTCAGAAGCATTTTGGTTTCTCATTGTTTAATTTGTTTGCAGTTTTGTTGGCTCTTGGGACTTTGAAGGCATTTTGGTTTCTGTTTGGTTTGTCTTGGTTTTGTGAGCTTTCAGTGTTTGATTTGTTAATTGGCTCCCTGACATTCCTCCAAGATCTAATTCTGTATTTCTTCCCTGTGACTTATCTCAATTATTGTAATCATGATCCCTTTAGCTTAACAATTTCATGAGGATTGGATCAGAACACAAAATAGATAAGAGGCACTTGCTCCTTCTAGCACAAAAGGGTGGGGGCATCAGAGGAAACTTCATGACCTGCAACAGCCTCAGAGAAAAGCCTAACAAAACAAACCCTGTTTCTGTGTCAGAAGGAACATTATTATCTTGTCTTGGAAGATACAGATAAGGGTTTCATAATACCTTGTTTTGAGTGCCCTCATGTTCCCATAAAACATACAGGATAACTCAAGACCCTGTGAGAAGAAATGCTCTTGAGGTGATGGCCGAGAGTGCACACAAATCAGATTCTAAGCGAATAGCTCCTAACTAGCACAGAAAACTCAACATTTTCTCGGGTGGGGGAAGGAACAAGAGTTTGAAGAAGGAGAAAGTGGAGTTAAACCACCAGCTTTATGTGCGATAGCTTTTTGGGGAAATTTGGGGAAATGGGAAGATTACAACCAAAGATAACCGTTTTTAGTTCCCTCAGTAGTGAACATTTGATGTTCCAAAACTGGTACTTTTCTGCACAAAACTATATTTTCTATACAATACAACAGAAGATAATGAGTGAATAGCCTGTTTTAACTGGAATTTAGAAGCATCGGAGAGAAGGAATGATAAAATCACTAATTCACAAGAAATAAAAGAGTTTTGGAAACTGTATCAGAATTAAAGAAAGGTATTGAAGGAAGGCAGATTAATAAGAAAATCTTAGCAATTATGTCAAAACTAGGAATCCATTCTGCAGAACTTAACCTTTCTCAACCTGCTGCTCCTGTCTATCCCTGTCTACCCTTGCCTCCTTCGTCAGAACTTCAGCTTCGCCCTCC